TATATATATATATATATATATATATATATATATCGTATGTAGCACGTGGTGTGGAGCATTTACAACTCAGTTATTGAAGGAAGCGGACGTTGCTTTGTCTTAGCTCACTAACAAAGGTAAGTTTTCATGATTAATAATTTTAATATTATATATATATATATATGTCTTTTTCATTAATTTTCGTCCTTTTATTACGAGTCTAGCTAAATAATATCGTTCCTTTCAGGGAAATATACTGTGGCTATTTTTCATGAATAAAACTTATCTCTCTTATTGTATTGGTTTGTTTCACCTACAATTTGCGACATATGTTTATGCAAGACATTTATTATCATTTTCCTTTCAGTGCAAGTTTTGATTTATTGTATATTTTCATAGAGATTGCCTGTTATTCTCATGTTTTCAGCTGAATGACAATATTTTACCTTATTGCCTAAGCCTAATAATAATAATCATTTTTTATTGATATTTGTTGACAGGCCAGGGGAATATCTATTTTCTGAATTCGAGATAACTAACACAGGCTTAAGGATGAATATTTGAAATTTAATTCTCTGGCAGTATAGCTTCGGGTTTAGTGCAAATTATTACGAAACATTTTTCCTTCTGAAAAGTCGTATTTATCTCTCATGTAAATAGCCAAATCAGGAGAATGTCACTGCAGTATTAAAGAAGTAGGGATTGCCAAATATCGATTGTAAGTTAGAAATTCGCTATTATGATTTAATGTAAAAAAAATAAAATATTATTGCCACATAACTGCTACAATGAATGATCTGCATTGGCAATAAATCTGATAAACATGAATTTTTATTGACGTTAAATTTTGCAGACGTATAACTTATATGACCCAAATAAAGCGCAAATATCTATTATTTAGTATTTCGTATTTGTTGATCGAATTCCCCATGTAAATATATTTAAATATAGTTATGAATGTGGATAATTTGACATGGACATATAAACATGTCTATGAGCACAAACATAATTCAGATAGACTTAATTATTATTATGTATAACAATTATATTTGTGCTATGCATAACAATACTATTTGTGAGTGCCAATTATCCAACATTACTTCATTTACAGAAAATTTATTAGTCAATATAATATCGTTCCTGATCTATACTTAAATATTTGCGGTTTAGTTTGGTTTGATTTGTTTTGTTTTAAGACATATCAACTTCAATGTTATATTTAATGCCAATAATTCTTTATTGATTTGTAATAAGTTTTCTTCAAATATGTATTGCTGGTAATATTTTTCTTTTTTAAAATTATTCCTAGTTTCATGTTTTCTTTCAAAATTCTATTACCGGTAATATTTTTTATAAAATGTATAGTTGGCAATTTTTTATTTCAAAAACATTGAGCTGGTAATATCGTTTTTTTTCACAAATGTCTTGCTGTTAATCATGTATTGCCGGTAATATTTTTTACAAAGTATTTCTCGTATTAAAATCTAGTTTTAAATTTTCATAGTGTTTTAACCCTAGATTGAAGGCTAACAATTTGCCCATAGCTGCGATCCTAACAGGTGCTGCCAGCACGGGTCAGTGGGGACATTAAAACACCAGTAATTAAGATCTGCTTCCACGCTCCTCAAAACCTCCAGGCCATGATGTTGGACGTAGTTTATCATCCTTCCCAGGACGCGGATATAGTTTATTCTCAAACCCTAGATGTGGAGTTAATTTATCGCCGTCATACCCAAGACAGAAATATCTACGGAATATTAACCAAGCAAAAATCATATAGTGTCGTAATCCATAGGTGGAATATATCAGATTATTATGGAAAAAAAGACTCATTACTTACAATGGGTTGGGAGTTGTTATATGTGTATCTCTATATTCAGTTATCTGAGATTTCGGACTGGGATATATTTATATATATAAAAACACGTGGTCAGATGTACAATGGTGAACCACCAATGGGTGTGAAATAGTTGTTATGCAGTGTATCTGTGTTACTGTGTGTATATTTTTTTCTAAATAAATCCACATTACAACCAAAAAAAGTTATTTCTCTTCTTTTAATATACATACATTTTTCTCGATGAACCATATATATATATATATATATATATATATATATATATATATATATATATATATATATATATATATGTGTGTGTCCATGTGTGTGTGTGTGTGTATAAAAAAAGTAAAAATAAAAATGATTTTATTTTTGATAACAGAACATATAAATATATATATATATATATATATATATATATACACACACACATACATACATATATACACATATATATATATATATATATATATATATATATATATATATATATATATATATATATATATATATATATATATATATATATATAAAAAAATTTATTGGTTATTGGTTCTTTCAACTAAACTGAATGAATATTTATGTCCGTTCAAGGATTTTATTTTGTCTTAAATATATATAAAAATATTTAAAACCAAATTACATTTTTGCTTTTGTATATATATACTTTTACTTCAATCTGATGAAAAATAAAATCATTACATTACTTTTGTATATGATACTTACAAATAAAATCATTTGCATTACCTTGATTATATATATATATATATATATATATATATATATATATATATATATGTGTGTGTGTGTGTGTATATGCTGATAGGTTCGATGAGATAAAAAATAACATTTAATTGAAAAGAGGGATCAATATAAATGAGATGCATTGATATGCACTGAAACACGACTGTTAAACGAGTTTTACACATTTTCAGTGTAATATTCTAAATCATATATATATATATATATATATATATATATGAGAGAGAACTTTTGCATCTCCAATACTGCGCCTTCTGAAGGTGTGATGGTCTCATACATAAAATAATGACCTGACACTTTTTTATTCGTATTTCAACATAATCTATATATCTATCTATCTATCTATCTATCTATATATATATATATATATATATATATATATATATATATATATATATAACTGGGATAACTGTACAAATTGTTAGGCAACGAGTTTATTAAAATAGCATTTGCAATCATTTCACCGCCGTGATTATTACAATTAAATTGTAAAGATATGTGCATGATTTTGGAAACGAGCCTATACATTGTTATGCCATATTTCTCAGAAATGCCAGATAAATTGGTATATATGCTAAGGTATCTATTTTACTCACACATCCACACGCGCTACTGAAACACCGCGTTGAAACGTAAGAAGACCAATGATAAGCCTGGTCAGTATTGAGATATGTGAACGCTTGGGTATAACAGGGACTGTAACCTTGGTTATGAGGGTAGGTTAATGTATAGCGGCTCTGATTTGGAAATAGGAGAGCAGAATTCTAATTCCAGTTTGCTTCGTTATTTTCACTTAAGCGTAAATACTCTTGGGAGAGTTATCCATCAAAC